TTCATATTTATAGCAAAAAATATTTTTTTTGTTAAATGTAAACTAAGAATTGAACAAAATGATAAATTCATATTTATACCAAGAAATATTTACATAGAATTCAAATTTAATGTTACATGAATTATTTATAACTTTGTAAAGTTAAATTTAACTTAAACAAATACTAAATGCATTTCTAATTACTATTATCAAATATTTATAGTATAAGTACATCTCAACTAGATTGACACCTACTTTTATTATAATTTATAGTTTAAGTATATCCCAACTAGGTTGGCTCTCCCCCATTTTTTTTTAAAATTAAAATTTTTTTTCACGGACCAGCGGGTTAACCGCGGCCTGTGAAGGTGCAAACCACGAAACTCGTGGGTCACACCTCATTGACCCGTGAACCGCCCGCTCGGGTCACGGGTCGGCCTACGGTCCCAGGTCGGTTTTCACGTGTCGGCCGACCCGTCCGTCTTGACACCTCTAAACTAATGGTCACTTGCTAAGGTGGATTAAACCATAGCCTATTCCAAGTGATAAAGTGCATGTAAAGAAGATAGGAACATGAATTGAAACATCCATCTTACATGACACAAATGCAGTTCTTGAAGTTCCAACATCGAAGACAGCAAACAATGATAAGTTTAAAGGAAAGCCTGATATGCAACCAGGTAAATAGAAGAAGGATAAAAAGAGGGGGAATGCCCTCTTTATATCATCATGAAGATTGCATCGTGGAACATTAGGGGTTTCAATATGCCCCTAAAACAAAATGGGGTTCGCTACCTCATTAAGCAACAATGTATTGATATTATTGGTGTTTTGAAGACGAAAGTCAACGAACAAAAGTTAGCTCAGATCATGAGGAACAAATTCGGTGGGTGGAGATAGACCGATAACTTTCTTTCATATCCGATAGGAAGAATCTTAGTTTTATGGGACCATACAAAAGTGGACCTTTGTGTCAGGAAGCTGCCCCACATGTTACACATTGTGTAGTAACTTGCAAGGTAACTTCTATCACATTCCGTTTAAACTTTGTTTATGGTTTACATTCTATTGTTACTCGGAGGACTTTATGAAGTAACTTGATTGATTTTGGAGATATATGTTCGATACCTTGGATGATCATGGTTGACTTTAATAATGTACTTCGATCCGAAGAAAGATACAATGAAGTGGAGGTAACTCTATATGAGATTAGGGACTTCGCAGATTGTTGTTTGACTGTGGGTATTACAGACTTGAAATCCATTGGATGCTATTATACTTGGTCCAAAAATACAATTGACAGCATATCTTCAATTTGGAGTAAGCTCGATAGAGTTATGGTTAATGAATTGTGGCAGCAAGAGGGAATTCATACCTTAGCAAATTTCCAACGAGCTGGTTGTCTCTCGGATCATTCGCCATGCATTGTTTCACTCTTACAGGAAGGTGAGAATATAAGCAAACATTTTAAATTCTTCAATATGTGGAAAGCTCATTCAAAATTTCAGAATGTAGTTCCTTCAAATTGGAACCAGCGAATCAATGCCACGAAACAGTTTACTCTGTGTAAAAAGTTACAGAGGCTCGAGGAAAGTTTGAAGCTACTCAATACCAAGCACTTTACTCACATTTTCTGTTCGGGCTCAGAAAGCTAGAAATGATCTCAACGCTGCCCAAACGGAACTACAAGACCATCAGACGAATATTGAGTTGCAAAGAATGGTTGCATTTCTACGAAAACAAGCCTAGGTATTTGTGATGCAGATAAGCTTCTACTACCAACAAACCAAATGTACATACTTGAACAAGAGTGATAAATGTACGAAAATTTTCCGCTCTTTGGTTAAAAGAAATCCGAAGCAAAATTTCATTGCTACCGTAAGTAAGGAGGATGGGACTTCTACGAATTCCAAAATGGAGGTGGCAGCTAATTTATAAAATCCGAAGCAAAATTTCATTGCTACCGTAAGTAAGGAGGATGTGACTTCTACGAATTCCCATATGGAGGTGGCAGCTAATTTATAAGCTACTATCAAAACTTGCTTGGGACAAATATTACATGTGATCCCATCGATCGAAATATTTTTGGTAAAGGGCCATTACTCTCTTTGGAACATGCAGAATCCCTTTTTAGGGATATTTCTTTACAAGATATTAAGGATGCTTTGTTCCAACACTATATGGATACACTTCGTGTTTCTTTAAGAAAGCATGGGAGACGGTAGGGGTGATTTTGTTTATGCTATTATTGAATTCTTTAGGTCTAGTTCAATGCTTAAACAAATTAATTACATCATCATAACTTCGATTCCAAAAGGCAGCCACTCATCCACATTCGGGGGTTTCAATCCTATTTCATGTTGCAATGTGGTTTATAAGGCGATTACAAAAATCTTGTCTAACAGATTAGCACCTATTATTGGTTCCATCATTGACCAATCGCAGACGGCCTTTGTGGAGGGAAGGAGCTTGGTTGAAAATGTACATCTTGCATATTAACTATTAAGGTAATACAATAGAAAAAGAGTATTGCCATGATGCCTCCTCAAAATAGATCTTCTAAAGGCATATGATTCCATCAATTGGGAATTTTTGAAACCTGTTTTGGAGGGATTGGGATTTCCACACTGATTTATTAAATGGGTGATGGCTTGCATCTCAACACCCTCTTTCTCAATTGCAATTAATGGCAGCAAACACATGTTTTTCAAATGTAAAAGGGGCCTACAACAAGGTGATCCCTTATCACCATTCTTATTCGTGATTTGTCTCGAATATTTTTCAAGATCTTTGAAAACGGCTACAAACAATATTAAATTTAATTATTATCCGAAGTGTGTGCTCTTGAAAATCACACATTTGGCTTTCACGGATGATTTGATGTTGTTTGCTAGAAGTGACATTATTTCAGTACGCACAATGATAGATTGTTTGACCAATTTTGGAGATTTTTTGGGACTTCGAATAAATGCAAATAAATCCAACTTATTCACTTCTAGAATTCACGACCAACACTTGGATGCCATCCAAGAGTTAGTGAACACGCTGAGAGGTTCCATGCCGTTCAAATATTTTGGAATTCCATTAGTTGCAGAAAAATTGAAAGTCAGCGAATATGCTCCCTTTTTGGATAAAATGGCCGTATACATACATGTCTGGACAAGTACTTCATTATCTTATGCTGGCAGGGCTGAATTGGTAAGATCGGTTTTACAAGGAGTTAAATGCTTTTGGTTATCTATATTTTCGATCCCAGCCATGTTCACTTTGAGGATTATACGGCTTCGTAGGAATTTCCTTTGTAGTTCCAAAAAATCACTAGTTGCATGGTCTGATGTTTGTCTCCCCAAAAGCGAGGGAGTATTGGGATTTAGAGATGTTAAATGTTGGAATAATGCACTATTGGCCAAGTCGCTGTGGAACATACATGCCAAGAAAGACACACTTTGGGTAAGGTGGGTCAATTATGTGTATCTTAGAGGGGCGTCAATATGGGAATGGTCATCCAAGAAGGATGATTCACCATTATTCAAAAAGATACAGTCAATTGCGAAGTGCTTTAAGGATACTGAAGGATCAACTCATGCTGCCTGCCAAAAATTTTCAGATTGGATCCATGGGGACAATATAAGCATTGCTAAAGCTATGATTATTTCCGACCGAAGGAAACACCAGCTATCTAGGCAAAGGTTGTTTGGAGCTCATGCATTACTCCAAAACATTCATTTATCCTATGGCTCAGTGCAAAAACTAAGCTCCTTATCAAAGATTGACTACAATACATGGAGATCGACAACAAATGCATGTTTTGTCAAGTTGCAACCGAATCAGGCTAGCACCTTTTCTTTCAATGTAGCATGAACATGGAAATTTGGGGACATATCAGAGATTGGCTCGGGATCACTACAGCCATGTCTACAATACCAAGTGCTTTGAAGTGGATCAAGAAGGAAGGACATGGAACATCTTGGCAATGTAAGGCCAAGAAATTTGCATTGGCAAGCACTATTTATCATGTCTCGACAACTAGAAACATGAAGATCTTTGAAGATCTAAGACCACATCCCAATAACATAGTTCAACAAATCAAAACACGGGTATACAAAGTTATGTTTTCTTTATATCCTCATGTTTTGTATCATTATGAATCTTTAGCATTGGGCATCTAGATTGATATTATTGGTGCATCTCGAAGTTTGTAAGCCCGGGCATGACCGGAGTATTTGTTCATAACTTTTGATCTTTATAAAATTTTATTTACCGATAAAAAAAAAGATATCAAATAAATCATTTTCTTCGATGGATCATAAAAACCCACTTTTTGAAGATCTTTCTTTTTATTGGGGTTCGAACATCAATTGCAACGATTTGATAGACGGCTCATTACGATAGATGTAGATGAAAAATACTCCAAAAAATGTATAGGAAGTTTTCTCCTCGTATTAATGCAGGCCTGAGTTCTCAGGAGCCATCCCGCCGAGTGGCCTAGGCTTGCTTATCTTTTCTTTGCAGTTTACATAATGAAAGATGAATTTATTCGAAACTAGACCTTAATGATACTGCTTTTGCAATTAATTTTATGTGGCATACTTCAAATAACTTTATTTCTACTGATGAAAGTTTGATTTTTATTGCTGTAAGCGGAGGATGCGTTAGTTGGTGTTGATGAAGGCACCACTATTAACTTTTACCTGCTATATGATTTATGTTTTTGTATTTGTGGAAAGAAAGCCATGCATACAACAAAGGGAAGGCACTCGTGGTGAGCAAAGGTCCATTGCCAAATTACCGTGCAGATCTAGACGAGCATCATGGATCAACAAAGAAAGAGGTACTTGTGTAACTATTGGAGAAATAAATTAAGCGTAAAATTTCTTGGTCAGACATTATATTTTTCTGTTCTCTGACTATATACAGATTAAAATGTCAACTGACATTGAGAGAAAAGTTGGAAATCTACTGAATAGTTCCACTGTAAAGGCATCAGTTGAGACTTCGTCTTCTACATCCCGGGAGACTGTCAAAGTAACGGCTAATAGACTTGAAGAGGGGAGACCTTTGTCAGTATTGGAGATTGATACTGCCTCTGAGAAACTTAATATTGAACTAAAAGAACGACAGGAAAAGATGAGGGTACATATATCACTTGCTAACTTCCTAGTTCTTTTTATTTTGTGAGCCCTGAACCATTTTTTTTACAGGAGAGTGGAAGTGTTAAGAAAATGCTAGCATTTAGAGAAAAGCTTCCGGCATTTAAAGTAAAATCGGAATTTGTGAAAGCTGTTGCAGCAAATCAGGTATAATTAACTTGTATTAGCAGAATTTTTCTTCATTGTTTCGTGATTTTGTAGGACATAAAACTACTTTAAATGCTATTCTAACTCAACTCCCTGCTTCCTCTGTACTCAATCATGCCGACCAACCATGAAAAAACAAAAGAAAATCCTGCAAAGAAGTAATAGTGTTGGTGCTTAAAATTTTACCAAGTGGACTAAATTTGTTTATTTTCTTAATTTATGAAATATGAGAGGGGTTTGTCAGATTATGAGTGTTATCAATACGTGATTTATTAGTTTCCTTGTCATTTGATAATGAGATTGTTTAATTTGAAAGAAATGATGTTGGGTAAATCAAACTAACGTCCCTTATGTTTTGAATCGCACATATAGTATGTCCAGTCGCTTCTCGTGGCTCTTCATAACCCTGCTATGCAAAAATGGGATATGCACTTGTATGCAGGGTTGATGTTTTTGAAAATATTTCTTTATATGCTTCATTTTGCAAATTTTGTTGGGTTTTTATCGTGAAGTTTTTCTGCCGACCACACTTTTCGTTGAACCTATGTGATAGTCCATAGACATTTGTGAGTCTATAATAATTGCATCCAGCATCTGACCCACGTAATTACTGACACAGCACTAAAACCTTCATAATTTGGAAGCAAATTTGATAACCAGAAGCCGTCACCTGCCACTGCCTTGCACCATGGTCTCACAGCGCCATGACATGCCATGACGCCCTGTTGCACCGCCAGGTGTATAAATTGTACATTCAACGACTTTCAACTGAGCATATACAAAAGAGTTACATGTTTGAATGAATTTTGTAGGGTTTAGTGATTTCTAAAAAAGTTGCTTGTGAAATGAGTTGGAATCTTCTAGCTTTATTTTGATGATGGTGGGCTTGTTGTGGTGAGATTGCTGTAATTCTAGTGAGTCTTATTCATTGTGAATGCCGTACTATTTATATATTTGGGTTGGTTTGGGGGTGGGTGGGAGGCAGGAATCAAGTTTTGTAGATAAAACAATCTGATGCAAGTCACAGAACAAAAAGATTTCTCTCAGAGAAATTCAAAATATGTACCAAAGCAGGTTGGTGATTTCCCTTTGTCATTTCAAATGTTAAACTTAGGGGTGCTGAGTGCTCTAGTTTTTGTGAATCCAAGTGGACATGAGTTCATTTGGTTGACTGTGGAAGCAAATAGAAAATCGATGAGAAGATGAGGATTACCTTGGTCTTAATGATCCGAATGTTGAGAGGTACCATGTGGACGGTTAAGTTTTGATGTTTACCACAATTTTTGAAGCTAGGGAAGTGTCCTTCACTATGTTTAAGTGCTAGAGAATCTCAACCTGTTTTGGCCATGACAACTCATGCCCTTTTGAATTTGAGCCCCTGTTTGACATCCATTATGATGAGGTTTTTTTTTTTTTTTTTTTTGGGGGAAAATGAGTTTTGGAATTGTGATTTTTTTTTTTGGAGAATGTAGAGTTAAAAAGTAGGTACGTGAAAAAATATTTTATTGTATGAATGTGTGATTGAAAATGAGTTTGAGAAAAAAGTTTCAGTTTAATGGATGTCAAACAGGGGCTGAGTCTGCTTATCCAGTCAACTCAATGTGAAACATAACTGGTGTTCAGTGACATTAGGATCTTAATTCCTGTGCACCTTTCCTATTATGTTTGAGAATTTAAGCCTCCGTTTGGCTTATTTATGAATAATTTAAAAATCATTTATAATTGTCAGACTTCATTTTCAATCACATATTTCAATGGACCTCAAGATTCACTTATCCATCACTCATTTCTATCTATATATAAATTAAACCTATAAATTCTTCCCAAACAGAGGCTAAATGTTTTGCTTTCTGCTTGTCTTATCTGAACATGAAAAAAAATTCTGGTAAATGTGATACCTGATGTGTGGATAGTGATGGTTGTCTTTATATGACTGGTGTAATTCATTTACATGCATAAACTGAATAGCTTTTGTAACATTGCTTATATGGATGGAATATAATGTTATGCGATCTGTACAAGTATTTTTCTTGTTAATCTAATTTATTTTAAGTTGTGTGAATAACTTAATTGAAAAGATTGTGGTTTTCCTCCTTGCTTGAAGCAGTTTACTAATTTTCATTTGTTTCGCTCGACAATATAGGTACTGGTAGTTTCAGGAGAGACGGGGTGTGGGAAAACTACCCAACTTCCCCAATTCATTCTAGAAGAGGAGATATCATCTTCACGTGGTGCTAATTGTAGCATAATATGCACCCAGCCTCGTAGAATATCTGCAATATCAGTGGCAGGTCGAATATCCTCAGAAAGGGGAGAGAAGCTTGGTGAAACTGTAGGTTATCAGATACGACTGGAATCAAAGCGATCTGCTGAAACAAGGTTGCTGTTTTGCACTACTGGAGTCTTACTTCGGCAGCTGGTAGCATTATCTATCCTAGAAATTCATTTGTCTTGTTAAATGCGTATACTTTGTTGGCGAAAGTGGAAAAGGAGGATCAAAACTCTAGGATCTTTTTCTTCTGCTTCAATATTTTCATCTTTTAGTATCTCAGTCTGGTAAAGTGATAATTACTTATTGGAAATAGTTTCTAGCAATGCTCATGGTTATTTTGCTGTGTTAATGGAATTGGGAATGCTGAATTTTCTTCCTTTTAAACTGCAGGTCCAGGACCCAGATTTAACTGGTATTACCCATTTGCTGGTGGATGAAATCCATGAAAGAGGCATGAATGAGGACTTCCTATTGATAATATTGCGAGACCTCCTTCCTCGTCGCCCTGACCTTCGTCTTATTCTGATGAGTGCCACTATTAATGCGGACTTGTTTTCCAAATTCTTCGGAAATGCTCCTGCTATCCATATTCCTGTAAGAATTACATACTTATATTTTCTGATACTTCAACATTTTTTCCCAATATTTTGTTTCTTATTCATTATTTTGTTGTCTAAATTTTTATTTTTTATTTTGGCAGGGATTGACCTTTCCTGTGACAGAGTTATACTTAGAAGATGTATTAGAGAAAACTCGCTATACTATCGAATCACAGTTTGACAATTTTCAGGGAAACTCACGGAGAAGGCAGCGACAACAGGAGACTAAAAAGGATCCTTTAACAGAATTGTTTGAGGCATGTTTTGCCTTCTATAGTTATTTTTTGTTTTCGTTTCCTTGTGCTATTGATTTGACTCTCTCCCATATATGCGTTTTATGCAAATTCACTTACCTGATTTTTAAGTTGTAATTCTCAGAATCTCGTTTTACCTTTTTTCGTCTCCCGTTTTTGCTGTTCCCTTGGAAGTTGTTTTCAAGCTTTTGATTATTATTTTCTTGTCTATGCAAACTATGCCCATGTTTGGCCCTCAGTTCCTAAAATTTATTTTTAACCACACATTTCATGAGATCTACAACTTTTATCAAAATCTACTGAAAATTTGATTTTTAGCTAAACCAACATGGGCTATATCTTATGTATCTGCAAGATCAAACTAAAAGCTATGATTAGATAATATTCACGAATGGAATGCTAAATTCTTTATATTTTTTTGATCCATTATTATTCCTTGTCATTTACTCCTGGTGGAATGAAACTTTAAAAGAACGCTTTCCCGCCATGTTGGGTCTCTGTAATATCCAGTCTTTGTAATCCAAGACTGCTCTGGTTCTAATCCAATAATTACCAGTTTCTATAATTTGTCTAGGGTTATTATAACAGTGATTCAACCAATGCATAGCTTCATCATTTGTTACTAATATCCAAGATCACACACATTGATAGATAGAACCTTCCACTGTCCGATAAAATTTTAAAGTCTAGCTGACACCTATATCTTGTTTCTTTCTTCAGGATGTGGACATAGATTCTCACTACAAAAGCTACAGCTCAAGCACAAGAAAATCTCTTGAAGCTTGGTCTGGATCTCAGCTGGATTTGGGTCTGGTATGTCTCTTAGTTTTATAATCCCCCCCCAATAATCCTTGTTGTTAGATGTGAAAAGTTCAGCAATGCAACTATTTTTTGTTGTTTGTACTTAGAGGTTGGGGAATTATCATTTTCATTTAATCTTTTGCAAAAGAAAGGATTTTTTTTTGTTTTGTTTTTTATTGTTATTTGATAGTGTCAATCTTACAGCAGCTTTATTGAATCGAACCAACTATAGCACAACACTGAACTGGACATTTAACTTGCATATATTGATATGCTCTGTCTGCGTATTTTTGTGTCTTTGCGTACTCATCAATGTTAGTTCTCCATAAAGTTGATGCATTCATGTCCATTTCTTTTTTGAGATGTGAGATAAGACGTGGTGGTTTGAGATGGGAGTCGGCTACAATGTCAACATCTATTGCTGGAATGAGATGGTGTGGTCTGTGTTTACATACGAACTCTGCTATACATGAAATTATCTATCAGTCACTTGGATCTGTAATTCTGCGTATGTTTAGTTAGTAACTCGTATCAAGAAAAATCATTTTTGACAGCAAAGCATTTTCAATTTTATCTCGGATGTAGCATTGTCCCAGAGGCTTAATGTTTCTGCACTTCTTATTTTAGGTGGAAGCAACAATTGAGTATATCTGTCGCCATGAAAGTGATGGGGCAATCCTTGTCTTCCTTACTGGTTGGGATGACATTTCAAAGCTTCTCGAAAAAATTAAAGTGCACAATATTCTTGGAGATCCGAATAAGTTTTTAGTTCTTCCTCTTCACGGTTCAATGCCTACAATAAATCAACGCGAAATTTTTGATCGACCTTCCCAAAATGTGAGGTAAGCACCTCTCTTTCATTTTCTCTTTTCGTTCTCTTTGTACGAGTTTAAGCCTTGAACTCCTGTTGCATGGGTTACCTACCTGTCCAAGTTTCCCCACGTCTTTCGGGTTCAATTTATATGTGATATTTTCCACTTATTGGAGACATTATGATGATTTTGACAAAGTGAATAGAATATCTATTTCTAAATTTCTTGGAATACATCAGAAATGTGGTTAATGCAGCCACTTATTGTATCTGACCACCTTGGTCCCATTTATTTGTTATGTTTTCTGCCACCTTCATGGTAGTTTTTGGGTATTTCCATTGGAGTTGTACTCTGAAGTTTGACAAACAAGAAGAATCCCTTCCTTTTTAGATAAAACAAACTTTCTGGGGAAATTATGTTTTCACATGACGTGCCTTGTCTCAGCATCCTGATTACCATTTGTTAATTTTTCTTATATGCTTGTATGGGGTAATGCAAGTTGTGTTAAATTTAGTATCGGACTCTGGTTTTTGTCTTTCTGTTTTTCTTCACTTGGACACTTCAAAGTTCAAAGTTTGCTCATTTCTCTTTGTTCATTTTCGCAAGTTTATGACACTAGATATGCTCTCTCTCTCTCTCTCTCTGCACTTCTGGGTGATGGTGGTTGGGGTTTCATATCACTTCTTCTCTAGGGGTTTGTAGGCAAAAACTTCTGATGAATCCCCCTCTCTGACCTTTTAGCTAGACGGTACTGGTTAGATGCCTCATGTTGTGTGATTTATAGTTTATGATACGTAATTCTATACCTAAGATTTTATATTCCTTTTATTGTGTTTTTGCAGAAAAATTGTACTAGCTACCAACATTGCCGAAAGTAGTATCACCATAGATGATGTTGTGTATGTCATCGACTCTGGAAAGGCAAAGGAGACCAGTTATGATGCTCTTAATAAGCTGGCTTGCCTATTACCTTCATGGATTTCCAAGGCATCAGCACACCAGGTATATAGAAAAATGATTGGCCCATCTTATTGTCCTCTGCAAATCATGATGTTTCCATATACATCTCTATTACAAATTGGTGCACTTCGTTTTCTGTATGACTAGCTGAATTTTGCCTTGATGTCATATTCTGAGTAATTGAAGAGGCGTGGTCGTGCGGGACGTGTGCAACCTGGAGTTTGCTATAGATTGTATCCTAAAATGATCCACGATGCTATGCCACAATATCAACTACCTGAAATGCTTCGGACACCTCTTCAAGAGCTATGTCTGCATATCAAGACTTTACAGCTTGGAGCAATTGGTTCATTTTTGGCTAAGGCACTTCAGCCACCAGATCCCCTTTCTGTTCAAAATGCCATTGAGCTTCTCAAAACAATTGGAGCTCTAGATGATAGGGAAGAGCTCACTCCTCTTGGTGAGTGATATTCTTGTATTCTTTCAGTTTCTGGATTGAAATCCTTTTACTTCATGTCAATAGATACTTCTGTTGTTTAACAGGTCGGCATCTCTGTACTTTGCCTTTGGACCCGAACATTGGAAAAATGCTTCTCATGGGTTCCATCTTCCAGTGCCTTAATCCTGCATTAACAATAGCTGCTGCTCTTGCACATCGGGACCCTTTTGTCCTTCCATTAAATAGGAAAGAGGAAGCTGATGCTGCCAAGAGATCCTTTGCTGGTGATTCTTGCAGGTTAGGCTGTACAAAAGATTCATTTTTTACATTTTGTTTAACTGTGTGATCATAACTTCGTTCTTTGCCACCTACTTCACTGGTGTGAAAATTTCTTGCATCTGAAACAGTGACCACATTGCTCTTCTCAAAGCTTTTGAAGGATGGAAAGACGCTAAACGTAATGGAAAGGAAAGAGCTTTCTGCTGGGAAAACTTTTTGTCACCCATAACCTTGCAAATGATGGATGATATGAGACTTCAATTTCTAGATCTACTGTCAGATATTGGGTTTGTAGATAAATCCCGAGGAGCCCAAGTGAGCATCTAATGTTGCTAAATGTTATTTCCAAATTTCATAGTGCAATCAAGAATCTAAAGTAACTGGATCTGAAAAGTTAATATATGGCCAATAAAAAATTACTAGAACGAGCTCATTTCCTCGATTCATGCACTTTATTTGATTCTGCAGGCGTACAACCAATATAGTCTTGATTTGGAGATGGTATGTGCAATACTTTGTGCTGGACTCTACCCAAATGTCATTCAGTGCAAAAGAAGGGGAAAGCGAACAGCACTCTACACTAAAGAAGTTGGGAAGGTTGATATTCATCCAGCATCTGTCAATGCTGGCGTTCATCTATTTCCTCTTCCTTACATGGTCTATAGTGAAAAGGTCAAATCTAGTAGCATTTACGTAAGGGGCTCTACAAACATATCAGATTACGCTCTGCTGATGTTTGGTGGTAATCTTATTCCGACCAAAAGTGAGGATGGTATTGAAATGCTTGGTGGATACCTTCACTTTTCTGCATCAAAAACGGTGTTAGATTTAATACAGGTATTATTTGATGCAAGCTCTTCTCTCTATCACACAGCACACAAACTCTACGCACACAGGCACAAGGATGCATACCTGTGAATGGTTGATTGCTTTATTACTAGGAAAAAGGAATTTTTCATTGATAAAGCTTATCATTTTCCGAAACATGAAAAGGGAAAAAAAATAAAAAAACTTGTAAAATAGCTTTGCACAGTGAAATTGGGAGAAAAAAGAAAGTGTAGTTCTTTCATTTTTGATTACCTCCCTTGAGTATGTATAAGACCAAATCCATTCAATTTCTAAAAAAGATACTAATATGCAACGTCAAGCAGTTCCGCTTTCTTGGCCCGAGAATGCATTGTTGGAATAGATAGATTCATTGGTAGATTCACACCTAAGATCTTCCCAATATTGGTTCACAGTCAATAAATTTAAATAGGCAGCTAAGTGATGGGAGTGTGCAAAATGTCCAAATTCTTGTTAATGGATCATGTGAAATATTTTTGTTAACTTGGGACATATATTTTGTGGAATTTAGTGCCAAATTGCATGCATCAACTTATTCTATAATCAAAATCATGGTATGATTAAAACATATGGACCCCACCCCTACCTCTGTCGGTCCCACACATTTCGGTTACCACCTAAAATCTAAAGGCAATATGAACAGAACGTAGGACATCTGTGTATTCCTAAGAATATGTTAATTTCAACTTTGATGCTTTACTACAATTAATCTACTTTTAATTTCTTAATAAGCAAGAAAAAGTGAAAAGCATCAAAAAGCCAACAACCCATTAATTTTCTGGCTTAAATGATTTACAAAATGGCTTAGTATATTGGATAAATTACAACCACCCCATATATATCATATAAAGGAAAATATGGTTGTAAGAGCGTTGGAGCTTGACAAATATGGATCCCTTCATTCAAAAGAAAAGAGTGCTCAAAAGTCTTTAAAAGAATGGGAGAGAAATCACGAAGTTCTAGAAAATGAGTGGCATATGGGAATGGGACACTTTTCCTTGAATTTGTAGACTATAGCCTCATTTTTTTCTAAATTCAATTTTAATCACATTCTCTCAAGTTTCAATAAAATAATTTTACACGTAAATTTAAAATTATTTCTACTTTTTAATAACACATTTTTCAAAAATTAGTATCATAAGATCTTTTAAAAAAAAGGGAGCTCACACAAATCTTAAGGTTACATCACCTAATAAAATCTCGTTGTTTATAAATTAAAAATAACCACACTATTAGTCTATTATGATTGTTAAAAAAAATCACAAACAAATTATATGATTAAAAAGACCCCCCTTTTGAGAATTGGCTCGCGAGCTAGCTAGCTTGTGAGCTAGTTGACTCGTGTGCGAGTAGGCTCGCTAATGACTCGCGAGCCTACTTGTCAAATTGAAAGAAATATGTAATTTCAATAACAAAAATAAAAAGGACGAGTTGTGAAGAGATTCGACTTGCCCCCATCAAGAGGCGAGCTTGTGGGGCGAGTAGAGTCGTACTTTTGTTGAGCGAGCCCAACAGAACGACTCGACTCGCTCCAATTAACATCCCGTACTGTCATCCAATCATTCATTTCCGTTCTCGTTACAAATCAACTCAAAATCCCCAATTCTGACTAAAAGTAGAAAATTCAAAAATAGGAAAGAGTGAGGTTTTGGCTACACTACAGTGTGTAGCTAACTGGTATCATTAGATGGAAAATGCTATTTGTGCATTTCTGGTACACGTTAAAATTGACATTGTATGAAGTATAAAAATATGTGTTATGAATTATTTTAAATATTGTTGAAATTAAAAGCAAAAAAGTGTCATCTCACACATCGTAAAAAAAATTATCTAACTTAATATCATGTAACGGGAACAACGTTAGATTAGAATCATTAGATACACCCAACCACTTATGTATAACAAAGTTAGAGACCGCGTTCTGTCTGCGCATCCCTATTTTGGCCTTGTGCTGTTCTCAAATCCCATATAAATAAATACCACCAACCAAACCCTCACCACTCTCTCCATCCAAAATCTCTGTGTAAAAATCTTTGGCTATGGCTATGGCTATGGAGTACGTCTGCAAGTTTCTCTTTTTCTTTTTGCTCATTTTGTGTAACTTTATGCAGATTACAGTCCCAGAAAACACTGTTTCTTTCTCTTTCCCTTTAACCTCGGCCCCTCTATCGGAAAATTCTTCTTACAAAGCAGTGTTAAGGGCTTCTCTTTTTTCATCACTACCAGCTCGTAAAGCACTGATGCAGAAGGCAGTTCCAGGGCCATCATCATACAACTACAAATCATTATTCAAGTATTCAATGGCTCTGATTGTTTCTCTCCCAATTGGGACCCCACCTCAGACTCAACAAATGGTGTTGGACACAGGCAGTCAGCTTTTATGGATTCAATGCCACAGGAAGTCACCTAAAAGGCCACCTCCCACGACGTCGTTTGATCCTTCTCTTTCTTCTTCTTTCTCTGTTCTACCTTGTACTCACCCGCTTTGCAAGCCACGAATTCCCGATTTTACCCTCCCGACTTCGTGTGACCAGAACCGCTTGTGCCACTATTCTTACTTCTATGCGGACGGGACACTGGCCGAGGGCAATCTCGTCAGAGAAAAAATTACATTTTCTAGTTCCCAAAGTACCCCTCCTCTGATTCTTGGATGTGCCACGGAATCTGCCGAGGCCGAGGGTATTTTGGGGATGAACCTTGGACGATTGTCATTTGTCTCCCAAGCTAAGATACCAAAATTTTCTTACTGTGTGCCACAGAGACAGGGCCGTGTCCAAACAATGCCCACAGGAACATTTTATCTTGGCCAAAATCCCAATTCACATACATTTCAATATATCAGTCTTTTGATTTTTCCTCAAAGTCAACGCATGCCCAATCTTGATCCCCTAGCCTTTACCGTCGGGCTGCTGGGAATACAAATTGGTGGCAAAAAATTGAACATCCCAGAGGGCGTTTTCCGGCCAGACGCTGGCGGTTCTGGCCAGACGATGATCGATTCCGGTACCCAATACACATTTTTAGTGGATACGGCGTACTCTAAAGTACGAGAAGAAGTAGTGAGACTAGCAGGTTTAAAATTAAAGAAAGGATACGTTTACGGAGGTTCATTGGACATGTGCTTTGATGGCAATCCGATCGAGATCGGACGGCTAATAGGCGACTTGACTTTTCAATTTGAAAAGGGTGTGGAAATATTAATCAGCAAGGAGAGAATTTTAGATCAAGTAGAAGGTGGGGTCCATTGTGTAGGCATCGGACGATCCGAATCCCTTGGAGTTGCAAGTAACATCATAGGTAATTTTCATCAACAAAATCTATGGGTGGAATTTGACATCTCCAATCATCGAGTTGGATTTGGAAAAGCTGATTGTAGCAGAGCCGTGTGATGGTGACTTACAAAAAGGTGTTTAATCTGGTACATACATAGTGTTAATGTGGTATGTTTGAAAAACGATGTAATATAGGAAGGGGTATGATAAAGTTGATTATGTTTATTACGTATGTATGTATGTACGTACGTTGTGTTAAATCAAATATATATATCATTTATGTCAATCACTTAATCCATGTACTTGTATAGGCATTACTTGATGCCATGTCATGTAAAACATTTCTACGGATGGATGGATGGATGTCTTGTATAAGAGTTACTCATGATATTATATGTCTCCATGTAGCACATGTAGCAGCTATATCTTCATTTTGACCATTTTTGTTTTCACTTATATATTTGAAAATATCTTTTTGAAAAAGTAAAATTATTTGTAACAAAGTAAGAATTACGCGCTTTTAAAGAAATAATAAATATTTGTTTTAAAATTTTCTCATTAAAAATAAATTTACGTATTTTCCTTCAACTTAGTTAAACATATACACGATTAAATTTTGTGGTAGATTCATATCTATAGTAAATGAAGTTATGTATCTTTGTTTATTTTGTTTGGTACAATGAAAAGAACGCAGTATGAAACATGTCAATATTTTTTGCACAGAATATAAAAACAAAAGATACAAGTTTACTGAAGTAAAATAAAGGATAATATATCCAGCCAAACAAGTGTGGCTAGTTGCACAAAAAGTCAAATATATATGATATAACTATGTTATCAACCAATCAAGATATCAGAATTGCTCTAATACCACTTATTGAGAATTCGACCAAATAATAAAGACGAGAAAATAACAGACTATATGAAAATAATGAATCACACAATATCTATGTGGAAGAGGAAGAAAATTTATTATACGAAGAAACTAAAATTGTTTTTACAATGTTTAATTCTCTCAATCTAAATCTAAATAATTCGCTCAAATTTTTAATGTAGACAACAATAATTTAATTGTTACCTTGAGTTTTTTAAGAGCCTACAACTTGTGGAGTATGAACACCATGCATTGATGGGTGATGAGGACCCATTATGACTATCACGAAGTCTTTTCTTTCAGTTGTGCAATCATAAGTAGGGATTCAGCCAATTTGTCTTGATGGTGGAATATGAACATTTACTTGATATGGATTTTGCAGAAACTGCGTGGAGAGCTTGACAGGCTTCTAAAGAGGAAGATTGAGGATCCAGGGCTTGACGTAGCAGTTGAGGGAAAGGGCGTTGTTGCAGCAGTTGTTGAGTTGCTGCACAGTCAAAACGTCCGGTATTAGTGACATGTACCATTCTGTATGCAAATATATGTAACTTTGAGATATATGTGCAGTCTGATAGTGCTGTCAAAAGTTAGAAGAATGTTACCATTTGAGGCCAATCAAGGAAAGACTACGTGGCAATGTTACAGGAAAATGATAATCCTTACATAATGTGAAAGACAATGTAGCTTTGAGGTGGAAATGGTTCTGTTCCCTTTTTTTTTGGGTATTCGTGGACAAAATATTGGATTCGACTGTGATATTCATTACAGTAGGCAAGATCTGAGTTTTTACTTTTTTCGCTTAATAGTTCACTTCTCTAAACAATGTCATTAACAATTTTTTAATAAATCTTGTTTCAAGGTTAATATATAAAATCTCTTTTGGACAAAATAATTATTATTTTTCTGTTGCTCAGTTTGTCGGGTTCTTCCCATTATCTATATTAGCTGTGAGAGCATGCAAGGCATGTGGAGAATTAGATAATCGAACTATTGGGCTCTTTGGCTCCATGCGCCAATGATTGACAGCATTTGCAGATAGGTAAGGCTCGATCTGAGCAGAAACTGAGGTAGTTTACTTACTAGCTCTTGGGTGAGAACCTTGTTGCATTTTTTAGAAGGGTAAGCTAGATTGCATCGTGCATAGACGAGCACCTTGGCATCAAGTGCAGCACAGCGAAGCATTCAACTATCCAAGCTAGTATATATCGTTGGTAAAATATGCAATGGGGGGAGGTAGTCAAACGTAGTGAGACTATTGTTGCACCGGTGCAAAAATAGTTCCACTGCAAAACTCAAAGAGTCAGCCTGTGATCTATTCTCTTTTTTATAATGACTACATTTAGCTCCTGTTTGACCTCCATTTTTGTGGTATAATGTGTTTTGAAACAGTGATTTTTGGGATTATGTGTGGTTAAAAAAGAAGAAATTTTTTTTTGTGTTTACGTGTAAAATTATTTTGCCCCTATTTGGCAATTATTATATAAAAATTCTTTAATTCTCATTCTCATTTTCAATCACATATACATAAGAAAATATTTTGTACGTAAATACAAAAATTTCTCTATTTTTCAACCACACATTATCAAAAAAATCACTATTCAAAACTTCATTTTCTCAAATTAATGGCTATCAAGTGGTGCCTCATTGTAAAATTTGTGGTTAAAAATTAGTTTTTAGAAAAATGGAGTCCAAATGGGGGTTTAATAAGCTACAAATTCTAATGTTCTACTTAAATTATTCAATTCATAATTGAATTGATTGATTATTTTACATTACAAGACCATGTTAAATAAAAAAAAAAAAAAATGGGAGAGATCAAGAAATGTTTCTTGAAAAATGTAAAATGAAGTGTTAAAATAAATAACATTGTTGAAGTGTATAAAAGTTCTCCCTATAAATTTAAGGATGATCTCTCTATATAAAATGCTATTTATAGATAAAGAGTCTCTTAAAAATGTTGAGAGAGCGGTAAACACAAGATTGTGATGCAGGCGTAGAATCATATCAAGGACCTACATGTTAGGTATACGATTTTAACCTTTTTTTTTATTTATTTCTTAATGTCTAATCTATTTTACCAAATAGACATTTTATTGTATTGTTCAAAACATATAATGATAGGAGGATTTGGACCGTATATAGTTGGGAAAACTTTGTGAGAATCGACAAAAAATTTGTGGACGCGCCGAAAACGGCGAGGCCTAGCCCATGCAGCTGCTAGGCTATTTAAAAATCTGATTTTTTTGGTTTTTTTTTTTTGTGACTTCATCAATCTTTGTGTCCATTCTTCCATGTGAAGTAGGAATATACATATGGGGTTGTTTCCTCGACAGAAAACAATAAAATTACATACATATTCAATTGTTAACGAAAAACTATCCACAGAATTAAAGTTCTCAAAACTATGTCAGTGATTCCTGTAATCAATTTAAATTCAATCACGCGACAAATATCATTTTAGGACAAAGATTCTTCGTGTTCAAGTCTTGATTTTGCGGAAATTTCTTCTTCTTTTGTTTGTGGTTCTTCTTGTATCCCTCTTTGTTTCCAACACATTTAAGATTTTGTATTAATGGAGTAGCCATTGATGTTTAGCAAACAAATGCTCATCTTTTAACTTTGAACTATGCACTTTTGCACTTGAAATCACTAGTCAGCTTTCCATATTGCACACTAACCAGTGGAGAAGACATGATCAATGTTACGTTAATCTTAAGACAGGCAAATTAATTATGGGATGCATCGGAGACAGGATTTGCATGATCCAAGAAGCCCATGATCCAAAACACCCCCTTTTCAAGTAATCATTTACTTCAAAAGACAATGTAAAGATATCTGAATCCCAAGCAGGTTCCACTTCAATCTTCATTTCTTCGTATACAATCTAGTTATCTCTATAATATGTCAATTAAATATTTACTTAAAAGTTTGGGAATGAACTGTTAAACAATCCAAAAAAATAGAGAAAAGGAAGAGGAAGTTAGGGTTTCATTAATTATAATAATGTAATTGAATAAAAAAGATGATTTAACCTACAAACAAAGAGACTATATATAGGCTAAACAAAAGAAGTTGAAAAGATTATTCTACCCTTTTTGAGCTTGCAAATAGACCCAGAATTATGTGGAACACTAGGAGGGGGAGCCATATAAACTTCTTCTTGTAGATCACCATTCAAGACGGCATTTTTAACATCAAGTTGAGAGATACACCACTAATGAACCGAAGCTACTGCAATAAGAGAACGAATAGTAGTCATTTTTGCAACAGGAACAAATGTCTCCTC